AATAATCAAATGCAATATAGGATAAACCAGAAGTAAATAAACGTCGAATATGTTCTTCCGATAAAGCATATTTCCATATAGCAAGATTTTCAATTCCAACAGCTGTTCTTTGTAAAATATGAATATGAAATTTTCTTATGATTGGACTTTCCAATGTTCGACATTCATTATTAATGTAAATTTTTATTTTTCGTTCATTTAACTGAAATATTATAGCTATTTGTGTTTTATTTGTAATTTTATTTATGGGTATTTGTATTGAAAATACATCCGGTGGATCAAATGTTAATAATGGAATATCAAGATAATCATGAGACATTTTTAAAACTGAAAAATCAAAACTAATTGTCAATGATTGTTGATAATCGATAGTTAATGGAAAGCCTTCATTATGTTCCGGCAATATCAATTGATAATTTTCCACTATAAATGTACTTTCAATGTGATAATTATTGATAAAATCACGTAAAAATCGAATTGATTTATTATTTCGCGTATGAATAAAATAATCTTGTACATTCTCACTAACCAAATAAGCACTAAATGGATAAGCAACAAGTGAATCATCAATATCGATCATAGTCGGAAATAATAATGGTTTATAGTTGTTCGGTAATGGACATTCAAACATATCCATTGGATGAAATATAAATTCACAAGCACTAAACATTGTTGAATCATTTACTTTTAAAGTCACACCAGGAAAATAACTTGTTCGATATCCATTTGGTAACATATTACATACTTTTGTTGTTGAATTTATTGGAAATTGATGAGAAAAAGGTGTACCTAAGAAATATCCATTTAACCAATAATTAATTTGTATATGATCATTATCTATTTCAATTCCACAACCACAAACATCATTTATACTCCAATGAACATTTTCAAATAGAAATGGATATTGTTCATTATTATAAATTATTCCTTTAGATCCATCATATGACCATGAATATTTATCATTACCTATTCCAATAGAATGATTAGGTTTAAATCCATTTGTTGCCCATCCAATTTGAACAGAAGTTGATTGTAATAATCGAATACAAAAGTACCAATTACCTTCAGTTAATCGTAAATTATCAATAATAAATGTGACAAATAATGTATTTAAATTTTCAGAAATTAAATTAACTCGTCCTGGAAATCGATGTGTTATTCCACATTCTTCTATGAACCATTGTCCAGAATGTCCAAATGACATTGGAATAATTTCTATTTTATCATTTCCAAATCGACCTTTTTTAAATAGTTCAATTTCTCTTTTTGACATCTTTGATTTCCATTCATTTTTTGTTAATGAAAAATCAAATGTTAGTTGATCTTTTTTAAATGAAACATCTGTCCAAATACGAAATTCATCTTGAATAGTTTCATTTGTATCATCAAGAATTTGTTTAAAATATTCACAACGATCTAAATTTAAACAATATTGTTCTAAGTGATATTTATTTAATAAATGTAAATCGATTGATGATGGTTGAGCAGTTTTAGATAGCAAAGCGGATGTTGATAATTTAGCGATGATTGATACATATGATTTTTCCAGGAATATATTCAGGAGTTTTTTATGATTTAATATTTGATATAAAACGGCTATAGATCGACGTTTTAATTGTAAGAAAAGTAAAGATTCTGTTGTTGATGTATCGATTTGTATGAAATAGGCTAATGCATCAAATAAGAAATCTATAAATTTATTTGCATTGGGTAATTCCAGAAGATTCGGTGGGAGAACATCAGTTTTTATTTTTAATTTATCTCCTGTTATCCATTCAGTTTTGTTTGTTTCGATATATTGAACAAGATAAGTTAGTGTATCAGATGTATCGAGATCATGAGAGTTGATATTAAGATCGATAATTACTCCTAATTGAGTTTCATCAGTTGTATGAATTTCTATGACTGAACCTAAGCAAAAAGGTTGAACATATCCTCCTAAGACACATAACGATGCTAGAAGATTATCAATTGAATCAAATGATTTTAAATTGGATGTAATGGTATCCGAGATTATTTGAATGGCCATTGTTTGCCATGGTGATTTACATGACATAATTATTCGATATATGTAGATTAATTCAGTGGTTATATCTGTTGTCGTCTTACCGATAGTAGATAAAATATTGGTTAAAAACTCACTCATCATTAATTGTGTTTTTCCATTCATATCTTCCGATAAATATCTCATTAGTTTCTGTAGAATTTTTAAAGAAAGTAAAATAGTTATTTGATTTCCACTATTTCGATAAATATAAATTAGTTCTTCAATATATTGATCATTCGCACAATATGATCGTACGTGTTCATACAAATGAACACATCGTAGTAGAAGTATTAAATATTGATTGATATACAGATCAACTTCGAATTTTGATGATATATTATTTGTATCTTTTGCTTTGATGAACCATTCAATAGCAACATTATTGAATGAATTATTTTTATTCATAAGTGTCGCTTTCTCCTCTGATTGTTTTAATAATTTTAATTCAGTTAGAATTATTTTCTCAAAGATCAATTCTTGCATTTCATTCAAAATTGAATTTGTTTCAATTTGAAAATTTTCGCAAAATTTAAATACATACAACCGAAACCAATTGTATCGAATAAATTTTACATCAAGATTTGAGCTACTGAATTTGTTAAAAAATATTTGAAGAAATTCATTATTATGTAAACAATAAATATCTATTACATTATAAGATAAATTAAGTAAATAGAAGATATTTTGTATTAATATCATTTGATCAATATTTGTTGATAGTAATAAATAAGAAAGAATAATTTTAATAATTAAATAATAATTCTTTCCAATATCTTCTTTTAATTGAATATTTGTGGTTGAAACATTTTCTAAATATGACCATTCAATATTTGCTTTTCTTAAATATGGCAAATAAATTCTTAAAAGAATGAGAATTTGATTTTGATTGTTCATGTCAAATAGTTTTTCTATGAATTTATGAATAAATTGATATGTAATTAATCTTAATATTGCTCGTTCATATTGTCGAAACATACATTGTATTAATTCATCCGATTCTGATTTCTTTTCATTAAATATATAATAATCAATAGCTCGTCTTAGAATATTTTCATTATCTTGTTTGTCTTCGATTTCCTTCTTTTTAATTAATATTAATTTTTTAAATCGTATACAAGCTTGAAACATATTTCGAAGTAATCGAACATTATGTTTTTCTATGTTTTTTCGTGAATAATAACGTTTAAACTTTGGTTTATTTACTTGTTCATTCGTTTCATATTCGATTATCGGAATCAAATTACTTTCTTTGATGGACGATAAGAGGAATAATGTGTTCATTTTGATTTGCTCATAAAGTTCGTCACAATTACCACCTTGTCCTTTTGTTTTTGCAAACAATACATGAACAAGACTTGCATATTCAAAAATAGATAAAAGTTTTTTATGTGGTTTTTTATCATTGGTTCGAGAGAGTTCCGATTTAGCTAAATTGATTCGACGATAATATTTTATATAAACAGCAAACAAAGCAGCACATGCATTATTTGCTTGTTCTTCAATTGATTTTTGTACGAAATTTTGTTTATCTTTCATATAGATTTTCATTTTCGATATTAATTCTGCACCTTGATCAATATTATTATAAATTGACATTAAAAATTCATGATCGGATAATGTTTGTTGAAGATTGTAATCAGTTATTTTAAATTCACTGAAATTGGCGATATTCGATTTCCATAAATTCAATAGATGCTGATTGTTTTCAATAGGTAATCTCTCACATCCCCCAGTAAATAGAGGTGATTGTAATTTCTCAACATATTTCATTTCTAATGCATCTGGCTGAGGACCGGCTATCAAAGTAGCACTCATTTTACCTAATACCCAATAAATGTAAGGTAGATTATCTGCTATTATACGTTCATTCATTGTACTCTTCAATATTAGGTCTGCTAGTAACGGTAAAACACTTGTAATAAGTGGTTGAATTGTTACGAAATTAAAATGTGTTTCTGTCATTAAACCCAAACCGATGAGAATTGAATTTAATAATTCATTTTCGATAACTAATTTATCATTTAAATTACTTAATATATAAGTGATATATTTATTCGCTAGAGACGATGTTGATGATAATCGAATGAAGAGAAATTGCTGAAATCGTTGTAATATTTGTTGAATTTGTTGTTTCACTTTTGGTTTCATTTCATTCGAAGAATTGAAGGAAATATCAATAAATGAGTATAGTATATTCAATGCTGTTATAGTTTCTGATTTATTATTACATAAGAGTTCAATCCAACAGAGTAATGTTGTATTTTTATTCAATTCTATTAATAATTCGTTAATTAAGATAAAATGTTTATTTTCGAGAATGTATTTATAAATAAATGATAACTTTTCGGTAAAGGTAGACATTTTTTTATTAAGGATTTGCATAAGAGCTTTTAATGCTTCTCTACAGATTGTTATCTGTTCTAGTTTTTCATCATCTCGACAAGCTATGATTAATAAAGTATCAAACCATGTTTGTAGATCATTGTCATGAATAAATTCATTTAAATCGATGTCTTGATTAATACTAACAGGTTTGATTATATCATTGTTTGTGAATAACAAATCTCGAAATGGATTTGTTATTAAGATAAATAGAAATTTTAAATGTCTTGTAAATAACCTCAAACAAATAATTAAAATATAAGTCAGATTCATATTCAAATCTTCAAGTGGTATAACTGTTAATTGTTGGATAATGTCAAATAATTGTTTAAATGTATTTGGATGAAATTCAAATGACATTGAGTTGGAATTGTATTCTTTATTTACATCGATTGTATTGTGAAAATTAATATGTATAAATATAAAGACTGAGATAAATTGTCCAAGAAATTGTTTCCTATGCAAATTTCTTAGTCGAGTGTTAGGAAATCCTTCCATTGAAGTTAAGTAAGTCAAGAACTTTTGATCTAAAAAATTAAAAAAAGAGTTTCATCAACGGAGAATATAAAATCTAACCTGTTGTTTGATTTAATTCATTGTTATTATTATTGATTTGTTCTTTTTCCCATTCACTACGAATTGCTGTAAAACGATCATTTAATTGTGCAAGAATATTTCGTATAGCATAAACATTAGTTGTATCGAATAGTAGTTGTTTTAAAACATATAGAACGTCTTTCAGTGAAGTAGTGGAAATTAAAAAGTTATGTAAAACTCTCTCTAATTGTCTTTCTGTAATTCGATCATGTGATGATGATGAATCTTTTTTTGATTCAGATATGTGAGGAGTTCTTGGTGATATATGTCTTTCAGCTGATTTGAATAGACTAGAAAGTTTTGATGTAATCGAAGATTGTTGTCTATTATTGTTGTGATCTTTCTGTTTAATTGCAAAAGATGTTTTTAGTTGTTCTTGATTTTGAAGATTATTATTTATTTCTTGTATTATTTGTCTATAATCAGTGATAATTGATATGAATATATTATCGAACGTAGTATTGATTATTCCAAAATCAGGTATATATGTTAAAAGGTATAAATAATTTTGAATTTGTTTTATCCATGATCTGGCCATTCGATTTTCATCATTGGTTTTATTAGAAGAAATTTCCGAGGATAAAAATATACTGACATCTTCCTGGCCAATATTTGAAAGAATTGCAGCAGGACTGGGAATAGAGCGATCTGATTCGGTCAAGTGAAGAAGTTGGTAATTAATGCTGGACAAATGTTGACCCATCTAAAACTCATAAAACTGAAACTGATTGTGCACAAATTATAACCGTGTAGTTGAAAGAAATTATGAAATGTATCTTAAATGTGTTAAATGAATGGACGCTAAAGAAGAATTGTGATGGATCGATTCATTAAAATATTTATTTAAAGTAAAAACATAATATGCCTGACCTGATTTTCTTATCTGTCGTTTGAAACTAGAAGAAAATATAACCTACAGTGACCTCATCAACGCAAATAAGAAAAAAGGTGTATGTATGTGCATACATGCGGGTCTTTTTTTTCTTTCTTTATCTTACTTTGTTTTTATATTGTGCAAGGTTATATCAATATCTGTTGAAGCTTTAAAGTACTTCTTCGTCCAGATAATTATTTAATGAATTGATTTATACATTGAAATATTATTCATATTTTTAACAGTATAACAATTCGACTCAAGATTTTTCATTTATATTAAAACACCAATGACTCATAATACAATATGTATGTTGATTTTCATACATAATAATAAAGTCTTTCAAGATGACAAGTTTTTGGCAGACATACCCAAGCAGTCAAAAATAAGAAATTAACACGTTATGAGAAACACTTTCCGTTTTTCTTTTAATGCCTTCTACACATCGGCAAATGTTCAAGTTTTCGAGTTTTAATAGTTGATATAATTTCGACTTTTAATATCGTTAAAATAAGTGAAAAGACAAACGTTTAAATACATTACTGCAATAACTGTATTGAACCGTACAAATTCGGACACTTTTGATAATGTTTAACGCGTTCTATGGAAACATTTTAACGTTAGTGAAATGCAATCATTGTGTCAAATTCTAGCATCAAACGCATCAAAAGTCGTAATTTTGGACATTTTAAATGGTTGAAATGCGTGGAAAAATCAGATTTTAACGGATTTTATAGACCACCAATCTGTCACTCTGTAAAAAAAAGCTGTCCGACTGAACTTTTAAGGGTTTTAGTCAAGATCCAGAACTTTTAAAGGTATTATCCGTTTATTAATAAATCATCCAATGGTTCTAGATAATTTAAAGAACCATGCGAAATAAAAAATGGTTTCAGATATTTAAAGGAGTTCTATCTCGCATCATTTTTGTTTATGCTGAGCTTCTTTTACAAAGACGGTTTTAGCCCAAGTTGCTTGAACTCAGATTGGTCACTTTTTAAGCCGCTTAATTAATCAAAAGCTGAAATAGTTTTACTTATCTAACACGAATAAGAAGCAAACGACAGAGGCCACCAAGGTTACACTTTAACATGAAGAAAATGAAAGTTAAATGGTGTGGGTGTGGGTGTGGGGTGTGGAGTGTGAGGTGTGGGTGTGGGTTTGAGTGTGGGAGTAACTGTTGCATTCGTCCATACCCACACCCATGCTCACATAAGTTTATGGTGTTCTGCTGGAAAGTTTGTAAAATAAAGCACCTTGTTACCCGCAATAACTATCCATGGTGACACAAGTAATTACAGAGAAATCGTTTGCAACCATTCATGGATGTTTGAAACATAGAAAATAGATGTGATTGTGGATATAGAGGAAATTTGTATCCCACACCCTTATTATTTTATGAAACAAAAATAAATAAATATTTATAATGAGCCTATTGGAAATAATCATTTAAAGTAAACAGTTTATATGTTTTTGTGTGGAATAACTAAAAACTAAATATTCTATTATTCTTTGAAATATGTGACGTTATAGAATTACTAAAGAGAATTGTTTCCTGATGAATAAAAATTCAATTCTTTTAAAATTTTATTTCTATGTTAATATAAGTTAAGGAAAAACCGTTGACTATTTGAATAATTAATAAAAATTGCCATGAAATGATAATGGTATATGTATAGGAAGATAGACACGAACAAGTTCTTTAAATGTAATAGCATCAAGTACAAGTAAAAATGATCGTTAATTCCATCATCTTCTTGATTGTAATTCGCATCAGGTCTTGGAATAAATATAGGTTCATTTGGTGATGTACATTTTTCCTCTCATAAGTCTACTTCTTCTTTTGATTGAACATCTAATCTAATTAAAACATCAAATAAATGACCAGGTTGAGTACGTACACCATATATATATGGATATGGTTTTGTTAAATATTTTGGATTAATTCTAGGTAATTTAAATGGAACTGGTATAAGACTATTTGAATAACTATTTGAATGAATTCCTATCGATTGTCTTGCATTAGCATTTGATTCACTACATGTATCTGGGTGTGGGTGGGTGTGGATGTTGCTCATTCTTCTAATAAGAGCTCACACCTACACCCCACCCACACCCTTGCAGTATAATTCATTTTTCAATTTAAATAGATATTTTAGAAGATTCGACATCTCATCATATCTCTCAATAAAAAGAAAGAAGAAAAAGAAAAGCATTCAACTTGTTCATTTGAACTGGAATTTCAAAACTATTAACACTCCCAATAGAACAATTTGGTAAAGATAGTCTAATGTCAACATAAAAATCAAAACGAAGGTTATGCAACTTAAAATTCTGGTGAATTTATGTAAAACTTTATCAAATGCAATGTGTCACCTGTAGAAAAACCAAAAAGTTTTATGACACAAGGCTATGTAGACATATATCGCGGTATAGCGGTAGCTTTTTCCTAAATATGTACCTAGGAGTATATATTTGTATCTGTTTATTTTTGGTTGTTTTTCAATACGTAATCCTTTTTAATTTCATTCTACATACAAATACATTTCTTCATTGGTTTTGTATAAATCAATTCAAAATTACGTGAAAATACAAAATAAAATTTATTTATTGTGCCTTTACGTCCGTTCGCAAATAATATATGACGATGATCCAGCACAGAGAATATTCTCAATAGATTACAAACGATAAATATAAATGAAGATATTTCTAGAGTGAATATCTGAAGTTCTCAGACAAAAAATAAAACGAAGAATAACTCTTTTTCTATAAAGTTATTTTTATAATACAAAGTCAACGTAATTCTTCTGTTCTAAGAAAGAAACCATGTTGTATTATGTATGTTTTTTTCAAGCGTTAACTGACGAGGATATAGGTGTGAATGTCTGTGGATTAGGAGAAGAATTACCTTAACACCCACACCCAAACCTCAGCTTCAATAGTTAAAGTTCAAATGCATCTTTCACATATGCGCAAAGGGAAGGCTACTTTTATGTCGACATTTTTGTGAAAATATATCGAAGAGAGACTGTTTTCACTTATTTAGTCGTGGAAATTTTCGAATCGTGTCTTTAAAATATCTCAATAAAATCAAATTGGTTTTGCTTCTGCTTTTGTTCTTTTTTTTCTTTTACAATTATATAGATCTAGTAACAAAATCCACCTTCATCGACATTGACTTTCGGTAGAAAAAAAACACGAGATACACTCCACATGTCATGCGACCTAAAAGTGTGTGTTTGCGGTCTAAAATTGATTGAAGATAGACTTATCATACACCATTGGACACGTATCTTTTAGGCTACGCTGATAGTGTCAATAAAAGAACAACTGCATAGGTTAATTCTTCCTGATCTGTTTGAAAGTCCATGAAGATGTTGTTTTGATTCATTTATCAAATAATGTGTCACACTTCAAGATAACGTTGCCGATTCATAATAGTCTTGGTTTTGAATACGAGAAGCAGTAAAAAAGAGGGTTCGATTGATATTAATAGAAACTTATTTGAGGTTGCTCTACCGAGAAGTTGACTTACATTCTTGATCGGACCATTTTTATTTTTTTCTCGCGAACGGTAAAATGATTGTGTAATTCATTCATATGCAATAGTTGAATAACGGAAAGGAAACGTAAAGCAAATAAATAATTCATTGAATCTCTTTCGTTCTCTTTATTTCGCTTCGTTTTTTTTTATGAATGCCGTTTGTTCTAGTCTTGTTACTATGTTCAAACTGGTTCTTCTGTTTTTTTCGATGAGCCTCTCATTCGTCTGTTTCTGTGAACAGAGGAAAAATGCACTGCCTGTTTTTCATACTACCAGCTCACCGGGTATAATTCCTTTCGTTTTTTGCTTTCTAGCTCATAATACGTAATAATTCATTTTTTTTAAGAAATCCTCTTTCAAAGCAAACGCGGAAGATTTGATTCATGGTTAGTTATTGGTGTACCTTAATAGAGAACCCCTCTCCAGAGTAACACTCACGCCCACACTTTGTTAAAATATCAGTTTTCATATTTGCTGGTCTTCCTCGATTGTCTACATCTCTTGTACAACACAAAAATGAGACTTTCCTGCATTCAGTTTCTTTCAATCATCCATCCAACTAAATGCACTGCGTCATAATCTTTTCCTTTACAGTTCATTAAAATTATTGAATAAAATGGTGATTTTTAAGCCTCGAATTACTGAAATCTTTTATTTGTTGATATATCAGATTGATTTTCACATGTCATTTTCATTGAATGTTACTTCACATATCACTATATATACTTTCATTGTAAATTTATAATATAAAAAAATGACAATAATGGTTTCTTTCTGACTACATATTCTTTTATAAGTTTTGCACATAGTTATTCATGCTTGATATATAATCATGCAAGACAGCTCAGCAAGCGGAAAAACAAGCACATTCACACAATAAAGAAAAAAAAGAATGAAAACAAATCTATGCTTTCTTCTTCTTCCTCGATTTATTGTCATTTCAATCAAAGAATAATTCGAGTTTATCATTAATTTTGCGCCCAATTCGCATTGGATACAGATCTTTGGTCAAGACTTTTCTAAGATTACTGCCTATTTGGAAAAATGTCTTTCGCTTCTCAAAAAATTGTTTTAATTGTATCTCTTCAGGTTCTTTTGGCCAAGAGAGATACCTTGGATAATTCTTTTGGCTACAGTCAAGATTGAACGTATTTGTGATTGAGGACTTCAATCATTCCTAAATATGAATTCTTTCGTCAACAAGGTAGAATTACCTGTATACACATAAGATCGTAAAGAAAAGATTTTTTAATTATTATAGTGCATTGCCAAAAGTTTCTGGAGA